GCTTGTCAACATCCTTCTTAAATTGTGGTGCCCAGAACTGGACACAGTATTCCAGGTGGGGTCTGAAAGGGGGCGTACAAGGCACCATCCAACTGTCTTAGGGAATCCACTCTGGGTTTGTGTAGGGTTTAATCCTTAGCCCTTTCTTCTCCTGAAGATATTCCGCAAGGCAGCAGAGGTTTAGGACTGGGATTTCCTTATTGACTTGCTAGATTTATACATAAATCAGCCTTCTCATATTTATTTGTCTCTCCCAAAGGGCTGTAATCACATGGCAAGTTCCTGCAGGCACAATCCCAAACAGAGAAAGTGTGTGCGCTCGAAGTTCTCCCACAAAGCGTGCTTGCTATGACAAATACCACTTAATCTCCCATCTTATAGTATAATTGCCAGAAACTTTTAAAAATGATGACCTATTATTTGAACAATAATTTTGAGTGAATCGGTGCACTGGGTTAGCTGTCATCTTTTCACTGCTGGAGCTAAAGTGAAAAGAAAAGAATGACCACAAAGTGGGGAGGGAGGCCAGGACGCCTCGCAGGAGACGAAGGAAGTGATTTTCTGGTGAAGAAAAGCTTTGGGATGGCATAACAGCAACTGTTAAAAGACGGATTTGCATGGAAATGGAACAAAGCAAGAAGTATCAAGTTAAATTAAATCTCAATGAGGCAATGACAAGTCAACTGGTTGAAACAGCTTAAGCGCAAAAATTAAGAAAAGCTCCAGGTGCAGGGATAAAAGAGAAGGTTGGTGTTGTTGTTTTTTAAAAAACTCTTATGTGAAATTATATATAGAATCTCAAAACACCTCTAAATATCAGCAGTGCCAAATATTGACATAGCAGATCTGTTGGATGCTAAAACTGGGTGCTATGAAGGATGATGGTGGTGGTGGTGGGGAAATAAACAGCAATTTTGGATTTGCATGGTGTGTGGTACTGTGTAAGGGAGCGATGGTGGTGACAGGGGTTGTTTTAATTTCCTTTGCCCATAGCTGTCAACTGTTCCCTTTTTAAAAGGGAAATTCCCTTATTCTGAATAGGATTCCTCGCAAGAAAAGGGAAAAGTTGACAGCTATGTTTGCCGCTCCAGCCCACAACATTTCTCCCTTCATATTTGCCGGCACTGTGATTCTTAAAGTTTATACAAGGTGGGTGCAGCTTGATGGTTTGCAGAGTTTTACGACATTGCACTCGATGTGCTTATTGCACACAAACTCTGCTGGGGGTTTTTTCCGGAAATAAACTAGAGCAGTTAAGCATTTGTATGGACCAAGTTAATTCAATAATTGTGGGTGCTAAGAGAAAGGGCTCAATATAAAAACATCAGAAGAGTGTGGCTGGAGATTCATCCAGTCAACCCATAGGCGTCACAAGGTGGGTGCGGTGGGTGCGGTTGGCCCTGGGTGCCATCTCGGGGGGGGGGGGGGGACAAAATGCTGTGTGAGACACTTTGGTGTTGGTGCATGCAGGCTTCCCGCTGCTGAAACGGTCCGCCTGCAATCTCCCCCCAAAAAGCTCAACAACTTTGGGTCCTCAAAACAAAGCTCAACAGATTTTGCTCTGCGAAAGAAAATGAAATATAGTCAAACCATTTTTGCAGGCCAAAAATAATAATTTCAATGTGGGGGGGGGGGCGGGGTGTGACAAGAAATGTTCCGTACCAGATACCACCTGACCTTGCTATGCCACTGAGTCAACCACCCAGCTCCCTATGGTGGTGGTGGGGAGAAGATGCTTCTGAGAAGTCTACAAATCTGCATTGAGGAGGTAGGTCAGCTTATCGGTTCTGGATGAGATTCCTCTTCCTCTGAAGGAGTTGGTGTCCCTCAGAGGCCAGGAGGGCCTTTGACCAGCTTGGGCTCGTAAAACAACTCAGGCTGTTCCTGTGGCAGCTTGGACCCTGCAGTCCTGGCTCTGCGAGTGCGGCTTTCTCCCGATTGAAGTGCAGAGTGTTTGAGGACCGGGACATTCACAGGGAAACCAAAATGCACTGGGTAGAAACTGGGACCTTTTGCACACCAGGCAAGTGCTCCATCAGTGTTCTACCAGTAAGCTCCATTGAATACTATGGGACTTGGGACATTCCTTCACATGTGGTGGGATTGTAAAATCATAAAGAAATATTGGGAAATGATTTATAACGAAATGAAGAAGATGTTTAAAATAACCCTTGTTTACAAAAAAACCCAGAAGCTTTCCTATTAGGTACTACAGGAATTGACCTACCAAAATCACAAAAGAATCTATTTATGAATGCAACTGCAGTTGCGCGGACATTATTAGAACAACATTGGAAAGAAGAAGGTGTCCCAACCAAAGAAGACTGGCAAGTTAAATTAATGGAATATGTTGAAATGGCAAAACTGACAATGAAACTAGGAGGAAAAGACGACAACGAATCAAGGAAGAATGGAAGATGTTTACTGCATATATACTGAAGCAATGTGCACAGGTTAATACATTGGCAGGGTTTTTAAACTACTTGTAATTTTATTATGAATGGATAATAGGTGATGTAAATATGTTACAATTTTAACAATGGACAGGCAGTATCTCGACAAACAATTGAACCAAGGAAGGGATTAGAGGGAAGTCAATCTGCTTTGTATTTATTTTGTTTTGTATTGCTTTTTTACTGGAAAATTAGCAAACTGTTATTTTTAAAAAGAATACTATGGCACTTAATACTTCAGTATTAATCACCTTGGTTTTGGTGGAGAGGAAACCTTTCTCTGTTCTGCTTCAGGCAGCAAAAAGTATTGGGCTCACCATGCCTTGACTGGGGAGATATTCCTATGTTTGCACACCTTGAAGATAAAAATCAAATTATTATCCTGAGACACAAAATAGTCGGCTTTTCTTTGGAAGGCTCCTGAACGAACCTTCCTCTTTGAAAACGAATCTCTGGGTGTGTTGAATCACAGCTTCCCAGACTAAAGTGGTAGGTTTTCATTTCTGGCCATTAATTTGATCCTCCTCAGTTGACACGGCAACACGATAACATCACGTCAACTTGTTTGCGATGGCTTCTACCAGAACAGTGTGGCCTGTCTCACTTGGGGGTCTGTCCCAAGGGATTCCCCCCCCCTTCCAGCTCGCCACTTATGAAAGCCAAGCCTCCACATTCTTACAAGCAACAGAGACTTGATAAGCACACTTCCAAGTCCTGCTCCCCTCCTGCTCAGCCAGCCATGCTAATACGGGGCAGCTTTTAAATGCTGGAGAGCATGTCTGCCCCCCTCCCAAAAGCATGTCTGCCCCCCTCCCAAGCCACTCCATACGTCCAAGGCCAGCTCTCAGAGTAAGCCCTGAAAGACTTCCTTCCTGCATGGAAGGAAGCTACACAACAGGCAACAACAGGAAAACTCTGGGCTGGTGGTTGCTGTTTTCAGATGCCGCCCTTGGATTAATACCATTTTTAAAAATAAAAAGCCCCCCGTTTGTATGAAGCCCAGGCACCGAGATCAAGCTCCTAGGGCCTTCTGGCAGTTCCCTCGTTGCAAGAAGTGAGGTTACAGGCACTGGCGGAGGAAGAGGAGTGCGGGGGAGCGCACCGCCCCCGGCAGTGCGATCCTGGTGGGGTGCCATCGCGGCTGGCCCCCCACCCACGCAGGGTGCCACGCCCCCGCAGGCAACATCCCACACCCCCGGGACGCGTGCCAGCCCTGCCCCCACCTGCTCTCCGCCCCTCGCTGCATTAAGCTCCGTCACTGGTTACAGGGAACCAGGCAGAGGGCCTTCTCGGTGGTGGCGCCCACCCTGTGGAACGCCCTCCCATCAGAGGTCAAGGAAATAAACAACCAGCTGACTTTCAGAAGACATCTGAAGGCAGCCCTGTATCAGGAGGTTTTTAATGTTTGATGTTGAATTGTGTTTTTAATGTTTCGTTGGGAGCCGCCCAGAGTGGCTGGGGAAACCCAGTCAGATGGATGGCATATAAATATTATTGTTGTTGTTTTTGTTGTTGTTGTTAAGAAATTAGAGATCTGTGGCCCAAATTAAGCCTGAGGTGGCCTGAGAGGCAACCACATTTGAAAGTTTGACACTCCCATTGGCCTCATGTGGAAAGCTGAGCAGAGAAATTACCCTTATCCTGGAATCCCCAATGTGGCCCCTGTGGGCACAGAGACACCCTCAGACAGGCCTTTGGTGCCCATGAAGACTCCCTGTCAATAATAATAATAATAATTTATGGAGGCTTCTTTGGTTGGGAAGATTGCTCTGGGGGAAGGTTGCAACACCTCCTTTTTCAGATGGTGTTTGTTAAAGTCAGTGCTCTGCTAGTTTGGGGCACTTCTGAGCATTGTCAGCCCCACCATGAAACTGGTATTTTGTGGTGCCCATGGCTGTTTTTCAGGTTTCTTCCCTGGATCCTGAAACACGAGAGACCCATATATGTTACAGAGCTGGAAACGGCAATAAAAGCAGACAGCTCCTTCAGTCAATAGGCCTCGCCAGCAAGCGTTCTTCGCTGACATCCAAAGATCATACACGTTTCAAGTCACATTTCATTGTGGTTTCATAATTATCTGAATTGGCTCTTGGTTTCTAAGGGCACAGCTCAGTCCTGCCTTTCCTTTGGGCTTATGGAAAGTGTTCCGCCTTTTAAAAGAAGCATTTTAAACCACTAGATATGCATTTATTCACATCTAAAATAATATTTCACCTTCAATATTTCACCTTGGGATTGGGTTGGAAGGTGATATATTGCTAATATCAGAGGTGTTAGCCAAGGAGTATCCTCTCCCCATACATACTAGGGGGATGTAGAATCAGGTTTTTCCCTCCAGAGTTTGCTGCAGGATGGAAAAATGTACATGTGTTTTCAAGACACGGGAGACTGTTTTCCAACTTTAAAAAAACCCAAAAACAAACAAACCTTCCACCTGAGAATTTGCCATGCACTTATTGGCTACCCCATTGCAACCAAGGATGTTAAAGGGTTGTCCTGGTTTGTCCTACAGAATGGCTGGGACCACGGGGAGATTCCTAAGTGACGATGAAGAAGCACTTTGCCGTGCCTGCGATTTGTATCCGTGTACGGCTGCAACAGCCTGTGGACATTAGACATTTAAAAGACCTGCCAATATGGAAGCCAGATTTTCCTTTTCTTGTATGTGACGCACTAAGGTTTATCCTTGTGTGCAGAATCGAAAGTGGTGTTTTTGAGGAGGAAACAGACTTGCCCGAGTTGAATTCGCAGAATCATGCCCAACATCAAAATAACCAGGTGAGCCAAAAGGAGAAGCCGATTCGTCTAGACAATCATCTTCAGGAATCTGAGCACTCTGTAAATCCATTGGAAGAGGATTTTCTCAGCTCCTTCAGGAATCTCACTCAGGAAGAGCAACAGTCATCAAGAGGCTTGATCTTATGAGCCAGACATTGAAAGAGATTAAAGAATCGGAGGTAGAGACTGACAATAGACCCAATGGCCACAACAGAATGATAACTATAGAACCAACGGAGTACTGGACAAAGGTGAGATACTTAGATGAGGAGGAGTCAGGAACTACGCCCAAGGAATCCCTTCTGGTGAGCAATTTGCAAAGAAAAGGCCCAGTGAACACAAACGTGAGTACTTTATGTATGACGACTGAAATAATCAAACATCTGGATCATTCCACTAGCATTAGCAATACCCTGTTGCCTCAAAAACTGGTAAACTCCGTGAGTACATTGGCCAGCAATTGACTAAGAGTAAATCACTGTAAAACAATTAAACTTCTCTCATGGAATGTAACAGGGTGGCCGAACAAGATCCAAGACAGTGATTTCTGTTCCTATCTACAAACACATGATATCAAGTGGTGTTTTGGATTTTGGATTACAACAGGAAAGCAAGAAGAAGAAAATTAAAATATTTCACACAGACCTAACCCGCCTGCTAAATTAATGGATGGATTATATGAATACGAGGGAAAGTGGAATGGACCAGTGGCTGCTAAAATAAACGAAGGATTAACATCAGAAATGCTTTATTTGGACCATTTATTAATTAAGAAATGCAGTAATTATATTAGATCATTACTCCCCAAACTTTAGAGCATGGGAAGTCACCCAAAAGATATATAATTTGGCATTGTATAATTGGCTTTTTTATGATTGTATGATAATTTGGAATGTTTTATTGTGGCTTTTGTTGGATTGTTTAAATGGAAATTTAATAAAAACACAAATAAAATAAAAGACCTGCTAAAATATACTTCAGTTCCATTTGCTCCGGTTTTGAGGTCTCTGAGGAAACCCTGCCCTCCTGATTATTTAAGGCATGGATTCTGCTCTGTGGCACTTTTAGTTTCAACCGCATCATTTATAACAAAAACAGAGCAAGATACTTTCTTTTTCCTTTTTTTTTTTTAAAAAAAAATCCAAACGCAAAACTTCAATTTCCAAAAACATGCTGAGAGTCAATGCCAAAGATTTCAGGCCGGCAAATCAGCAATTAACCAGATAGATTTGACTCAGTGTCTCGGGCTCCGTTCATTTGCATACAGTCTTCAGGGGATTCCTGTCATTGGTAGCTCCCAGACCCTCAGATTCAGGAGCATCAGCCTAATAAAGTGGAACCGTTATTTTTCCTTGGAAAAAAAAATAATGGAGAGGGAGGAAATTGAGAAGTGTGACCGCAACTGCGTAACAGAAATATGATTGAGGGATTTGGTGTGGAAGAAAAAAGTTGGTATGAAGATGGAGAATGGGGGCGGGGGCTGGGAGAGCGTTTTGTTTCTGTTTTATGAAATAACACCGTTTTCTCGTTTTAAATTTGCTTTCGCTAGGAACAGCTGCTTCCAGGTCAGATATCAATGGCATTTGGAAACCAGCCCTAATGAAGTGAGCATGCAGCTACTATTAACATTAATTTTATTTTCATGCTCTTGGAGCCCAGCGTATAAAGAATAGTTTAAGCAGGCACAGCGGGGTCTGTTAAAAAGATGGTTTCAAGCACCAGCCATAGCAGGGTTTTTAAAAAATATATATATTTTGAATAGCATTTATTATTTTATTTCATCTATGCATATACTGCTTAATACCAATATAGTCTCCAAGCAGTTTGCAAAAATAAGAGAAGCAATAGGTTGAATTCTGGTGCTGGAGGAGACTCTTGAGAGTCCCATGGACTGCAAGAAAATCAAACCTATCCATTCTGAAGGAAATCAGCCCTGAGTGCTCACTGGAAGGACAGATCCTGAAGCTGAGGCTCCAATACTTTGGCCACCTCATGAGAAGAGAAGACTCCCTTGAAAAGACCCTGATGTTGGGAAAGATGGAGGGCACAAGGAGAAGGGGACGACAGAGGACGAGATGGCTGGACAGTGTTCTTGAAGCTACCAGCATGAGTCTGACCAAACTGCGGGAGGCAGTGGAAGACAGAAGTGCCTGGCGTGCTCTGGTCCATGGGGTCATGAAGAGTCAGACACGGCTAAACAACTAAACAACAACAACATTCAGAGTGAGGCATTACTGCTAGATGCAAGATGGGCACATTTTGAAGACGTCTTAAGAGTCAGGGGGTCCCTTCTTGCCAAGGCGCATCCTGAGCCACAAAATGCACCTCTGTCCCTACTAAAACTTTCGCATCTCAGAATTTTAATTCAGTGTGCATCCATGAAAATAAACAAGGCATCCCAGTCAGAGACAATAGAGCCTTTTGCACCACAACTGAAAGTTTGCTCAAAAGTAGGCTCATTGAGTTCAATGGTGTTCGCTCCCAAATAAATGTGCATAGGATCACAGCAGTTTTTAGACAACAGGCTGGCAGCAACCCAGCATTTGCAAAATGTCATATTTTGCATGGCTTTGTAAGACTTGCTGCTGATTGAAGAATTAGACATTTTATAAAGGATCCATTTGTCTAGACAATTAAATTACCAGAAAATGGTCACTCTTCCTTCATTTTGTCCGGCTATTGCATTCAGGTTACCTGCCAGATTAAATTTCAGTGTATTTTAAAACTTTCTTTTTCTTTTTTCTTTTTTCAAACAGCGGCTTTTAGGTAACAAGCAAAACAAATAGCAAAGGCAGCTCTTTTCCTATAATATTCTTGAGTCACTGCCTGAGCCAAGAACTGAAGGTAGGGCAAAGTAACAAAGTGCGCAGTGCCATCTTGTGGTTTCTAACAAGAATTCTCATTTGCTAACTAAAAGAAGAGAGATGGATGGACTGGTTTTTGCTCATGCATTCTTACTAATTCGAAATGTTGTTTCGGGTAAACCCTGGACTGGCAGACTCCGGATATAAATAAGGCCATTTCACAGCAGATTTATCTCAGAAAATACAACCAGCAGGTTATTCAGCAGGCTGCAAGAATGCCATCGTTTGTGCATCTCCATGTAGAAGGTCTGAACATGAATGTTCAAGGTCTCATGTACAAGGTGCAAGTGTACAAGGTCTTGGCTCAGCTCTAGTTTGGAAGGTACTTTTTAGGACAGTCTTGGGCTCACAAGAGTTACAAGCCCACAAAACAACAAGCAGCCATGCTGCTTCTCTTTATCTGCACACAGTGGTGTAGCATGGGTTGCCAGTGTCCGGGGCTGCTCAGGGAGAGAGGTGTTGAAATTTTGCACCCCTAACAATTCTGCACCCAGGGCAACCACCCCTCTGTCCCCCTTCCTATGCCACTGGCTGCACACTTCAGAGGCTGAGGGAAACTTTGGTTGGGTTTGGGGGGGTAGATGGTTGGCTCAGTGTATGCCATTCAGAGGGACGTGTGTGGCGCTGTGGGTTAAACCACAGAGCCTAGGACTTGCCGATCAGAAGGTCGGCAGTTCGAATCCCCGCGACGTGGTGAGCTCCCGTTCCTCGATCCCTGCTCCTGCCAACCTAGCAGTTCGAAAGCACGTCAAAGTGCAAGTAGATAAATAGGTACTGCTCCGGCGGGAAGGTAAATGGCGTTTCCATGCACTGCTCTGGTTTGCCAGAAGCGTTTTAGTCATGCTGGCCACATGACCCAGAAGCTGTACGCCAGCTCCCTCGGCCAATAAAGCGAGATGAGCACCGCAACCCCAGAATTGGTCACAACTGGACGTAATGGTCAGGGGTCCCTTTACCTTTACCTATGCCATTCAGAGTGGATGAGGCAACCTAGTCAGATGGGGGGGAGGGGGAGGAGGAGGAGGAGAATAAATGATGTTAGATATACAAAGGACACATGGCACCTAGCAAACCTCTTGCTTTGGTCGAAAATGTGCACTGATGACCAACACAATCTAGTGAATGCAGTATTGGTTTATGGACTTGCAAGGAAAATGTGTGGATTCTTGCTTTGCTGTGGAGCTCAAAGAGAAGATTTGAACAATTCACAATTCCTTCCTTCCTTCCTTCCTTCCTTCCTTCCTTCCTTCCTTCCTTCCCAATTCACAATTTCTCAGTCTCAGTACCCCATCCTTAGCATGGGGCTTTCATATAGAAGTGAGGATGAACATGGAAATGGACCGTCGTTTATAAGCTAGGCCTGCATCCCCTGGTACTGAGACAGGTTGATCTTTTTTGTTTCACTGCTTTTTCTGGTCAAAAGGTGTCAGAGGTTTTTGAAGCACAGAACCCTGCAAAACCTATTTAACCAAGACTGAAAGTTGAATGCGTGAGTGTCTACAGCATGGGGGGGGGGGGGATGGAAGGCATTTTTTCCACATCAACCTTGGCACGTAAATGAAGGGAATATGTGTCTCATTGCTACAGCCCCTGAAGCTGCTGAGCTTGACTAGAGGAGCTGCCATTTCTCTCGGGTAATGCCTCAAATGCACTTTCTCGCTCCCGTCATGACTCGGTGTCATTCATTATGTTGGGCTCCCAGAGCTGGCAGTCTCCAGAAGGCAGACGTGATTTAGAGCCATCGCTTCCTTGCACAGTCTGTGCCAGAAGAAAAATGTTAACACTTGTAATGCCACACGACTGAATCCTTTAAGGAGGGAAATGGCAGCGTCGGAAGAGGAAGCAGGTCAATATCTGCTAGATTAAAATAAATACATATGAGCTAATGGCAATCAAGGCAAAAAAAGAAATAAATCGGCTTCTATAGGGTTCTCTCGTCCCCGAGAAACCTTGAACTTGATGCTTTCTTTCCATTCAAGCAACTCTTCAGATTAGTATAACCACTTCTGATTTATGAACCAAGTCCACATCCCTCCCAAAGGATGTGTGCAAGTGTGCAAATAGCCTCTCTTAAGTATGCTAAGCCCGACTCCCTCGTCAGCATTTTAGTGTAAATTCCTTCTAAAAATGCACATTTTTATATGCATTTTGCCTTGTGGGAACAATTTTGCAAAGCAATTTCCCCCTAACATAATGCATTTCTGCATGTTATCTTCACTAATATATATGCATGTTTATGCCCACTTTAGTATATGTGTTTCAGTAACATGCGCTGTAAAATCT